TGAGGCGGCAAAATATGTAACTAGCAATTTGAAGTTTGTATGGCAAGAATTGCTGCAAATTTAACAATAAGAAAAAGTGCCATAAAATGATTGTAAACCTGACGTACAAAGCGCATTTGCCAATTTTTATTAGAAACTTCCGCGCAACAATGTTTAATCCAACAGCCAGCTCCTCAAGTAGCATGCAACATTTATCGCTCGCTGCTATGGTGTCGTAAAATTTTCATTAAAAATATAGTTTTTGCCAGCCGAATTGTCAAATTGCCACCAAAGCGAATTGGAGAAAAATGACGTTGAAGCAAAAACCGGCAGCTAACCAAATCAAATTTTTACGAGCTCCATGTACTTTGCGCCCAACATCATCGACCCAACCGAAGCGAGTTGAACGCTCATTACCATTTCAATGGCGGTGGCGCACGGTGGCAGGTACAATTGTGTGGCAGAACCGAATAAATGCAAAGCTACTACTTTAAATGAAGTCGGCTTGTGATTTTATGCGCAGCTCGTAATAAAATTGTTTTACTTGTGCGCACGTGATATATGCCACTTGCCGCATGCAACGCCAACATGCAAGCCCAATGCCCAATGCCCACACCCGGAATGCCATTGAACCGTATCACAAAGGCTGTGTGCCCGCCCGACTGCTATTCAACCGTTTGCTTAGCTGGTCGCCGCCGCCGCCGTTGCTACTCCCAGCAAAGCCACCGCCTTGATGTGTTCGCTACGCTTGCACCTGCAGCAATGTGTGCCACCTTGTGCTGGGCTGCGGAAACCCTTTTTCGCTGGCAACTTACAAACAGTCGCAGTGCTGCGCGATTCAACGCCAAGCTATGAAAATCAATTTGCGAATAATTCAAGCATGAAATTTGTATGACAGTTGTGATTTTATTCCCGCTTCCTTATGGCTATGTTTTGTGCCTTGCTAGCTGCTTTTACTTATTAGCGTGTTGTTGTTGTTCTTGTTATATTTTATTGCAGTTTTCTTAGCTGTTGTGTAGTGCGCCGCTGCTCACTTTGCGAAAAAAAGCAATAAAATGACAATAGTGTGGCGATAAAAGTTGCCAAAGTTAATGCTGAGCGGGCAACACAGCGGCATGGGAATAATATTTAGGGATGGCACCAACAGCACCTTCCGTTACAGCTCGGCATCAACCGATGGTATGGATAGGTGCAAATAAAGAACTTTGGCATTGATTGCACTCCTCTTACGAGGACGGTATGTTTGTGGCAAGTAGTGAGCAGCGCATTGGCAATGTAAACTAACAACAAAGACATGTAAATCAGCGAAAAATAACAATAGTAATAGACAACAACCCTAATAAAAGTAGCAAGGCAAAGCATAGCATTGCAAAGTTTTCCCCAATACCCATCAACACGAAACGACGACGTTGACACGATTGTTGTAGCAACGAGGTTAATAATAAAAACAACAACTGCCAACTTGAATCGCAAATAGGGCAACTAAGAAATCGGGTAACAAATCGCTTCCGTTTTGCATATCCATTTGATATTTTATTATTCGACTATTAGGTATTTACACTGAGGGAAATAAATGTGTTTTATAAGACGGAGTTCCATCTTCCACCTAACCACAACTCAATTCCAAAGCAATTAATTTTGATTTCCTCTTTTGTGAGCTAAAAAACGCTGTGTAACTAAATTTATCACTCCCTACCACTCAAAATATTACTTCTCATAAAAGAGCGTTCTGTCTCTTTTGTTTATCCGACTTTCATAACGCAGCAATTTTCATCGTTGATAAACTCATTAAAGTAGATGTGCAAACACCCAGTTAGTTTTTCGAAAAGAGTTGCCACCTGTTTAAAAAGTTAAATTCAAATTATTAAAATATGGGTTTCAGTCGAATGGGGGTTCAAAGATTTTTATTTTTCTGAACTGTGTTTAGCGGGGTTGCCACATGTTTGAAAATCAAAATTCCATTTAATTCATCAGTTCATTGCAATATGTATTGCAGTGTCCGGCCAAAGAGCGTTAACAATGATTAAGCTTGAAAATACTTTCGAAGAGGGCTGCCACCTATTTGAAAGGTCTAATTCAATTAACTAATTCAAAAAGTATATGAAATATAAAAATAGTCAGTAGTCAAACGAAAGAATGATAAGAAATCTTTAGTTTATTCATGTTTACATTCAAATTATTCAGTAAGTGGGATGAACTATTAATAGATGGATGCAAATTTAAATGGGTTTGAAAGGGATTTATTCCTAAACTTTACTTAGGGGGTCTGCCATTTGTTCGAACAATCAAATTCGAATTAGTTCATCCGTTTATTGAAATACATGTGTATCACAATGTCAGACGAAAGAGATTTAAGAAGATTTTAGTTTGAGAACATTTTTGAAAGGGAATTTCAAAAATGAGAGGTTAAATTAGAGACCTTGGCCTGTAGATGTATGATAAAGTTTTATTTTTTTTTTTTAATAAGAATTTTTTTCATAGGTATAGGATGATTTAAAATTCGATGAAAATAAAAATATGCACTATGCGAGACTACTCCACATTCAGAAACGGCTGCACGGTTTCGATGAAACATGACACTCGGATCTCTTATAACTCTTACTAACATTTGGAATATTTTTTAAGTTTTTGAAATTAAATTTTGGGCATTTTAACGCCATGCCGGTTCACTAGTACTTCTAGATTTGCTAGTACATTCAAAGTACATTCCCTAATATCAAAATGCCAACATATTGAAAAAAGAAAGAGAGATCCGATAAGAGAATGTAATCAAAATGACACAAACGGCAATAACGCAAATTTGTGTTATTTCCCAATTGAACGTGAAATAATACAAATTTGCTTTATTTCATTTCTCGCTGAGCAATAAGACCAACTTTTAAACTTAACAATTACATTAACAAGTTAAATGGACGGATTTGTAAGTACATATACAATTTTGAAAGTGCCTCCCATCCTTTCGTCATTATGAAATGGTGACATTATAGCCGTTTCTTCTTCTAGTTCACTTCTGAAATTGCTTTTTACTGTCCGTTATTGCCGTTCGTGTTATTTCACCCCTAAACGAATTATTTACCACTTTCATGGTACCTGGAACGCGAAAATGGACCGAAATGAAACTAATTTATTCTAATTTCGTTGAACGTTTCATAAAAAGTACATATTTCGGTAAAAATTGTTTTGTTGTAAACCATTCCCAAGGTTTATTAAAAGCAAATAAATCAATAGAAATGATAAGATAAGTACGCCCCAATTTAGAATACCTTTAGGTTAAGTTCAGGGTACAACTTTGATTGGATTAACTGCTTCGTTAATCGGAGTTAACGTTGTCGTCTGTCTATGCCTTTAGGTTAGGTTATCGTCACTGAGCCGTCATATTATTATACATTTATTGCTCCTTCTGTTACCAAGTGATTGCAAATTTGGTTTCAGTAATTGGTTATGTTTAAAAATAGTATTTCGTGTTTATCAGTTTCCACAATTTTAGAAAAGTTGGTGTGAGTTTGTTTTGGGTCCATAAATAAACTTTTATTAACAAACAATGAAATTTCTGATTTCAGAGTTTTTTTTCGCGAAGGTCACTGGGTAGTAAATGGGGCAGTGCAATTAAAGAAAAGTCTAATAAAGATCGTATGTTTGCTTTCTTATCTACATATAATTCGTACAAAAAAAAAAAACAATTTATAAAACAAACTCATACTAGCACAGACATGTATGTACATTCATATACACATATTTAATGTGCTTTTAGTTCCCTAAGTGTAGTTAATTTTCCACCTGTACAAACTATGTATCGAAAGGCGTAAGGTTTTTGTAGCGCATATCATAAGGCTGTATGCCTACGTTTCTTTTAAAATATGGGCTTAATTAATAATCCTTTCTTTATTGTTTTTCCAAATGCATGCCTGTTGACGAAATATTAGTAAAACACTAAAATAAGTGTAAATAAACTGAATTTTTGGAAAAAAAACTTGCTCATCTAAGGTTTTTATTAACTGAATAATGTTATATTTCTTATGGCCCGTTTCACGAAAATATATTTCAGTAATTTTTAAGAAGGAAATATTTTAACATTGATGACATTTATACCATTTACACCATTTTTAAAAATACTTAGAAGTATTTACCAAATTTATTTAAAATTATTTCGCTTATGCTCTCTATTCCTACAACTTCGGCATACACAGGGAGAGGCCTTTCTATTAAGATTGTGAAATGGTGAGATGAGAGAAATAAAGCGAATATCTCACTAATAAAAAACGAACTTTTGATTTATATTAATTTAAATATTGATTGCGATAAAACATATGATACTTTCAAAGAAATATATTTTTTTTATTGAGGAAATGCATAATACAGAAAAAAGATGTACACATAAAAGGCATTTTTACTTGTTCTTGAAAAAATACTATATATGTATTTCAAGTGTACTATATTTTGTCAGATTTTTTTGAAAAAGTACTATAAATATCTGAGAAAATGTTGGCAACTCTAGTTGTAACTCAAATGCGGGGGCCTACAATTTCACACTGCCTCCGAATGGCACACGGATTTTATGAGAAGCTTTCTCATGGCAGAAATACATTCGGTAGTTCGACAATGCCTGCCGAGGGGCGACCATTAATTATTTTTCTAATTTAGATGTTACTTCGACCAGGCGTCAAACCTAGGTCCTGCAGAGTGCTCGTACGCACCTCTAACCACTCAGCCACAGCGGCCGTTTTTCTCGATTAGTCAACATAAATAATTTTTAATTTTTCGATATGGTAGAACTTGAGGTTTTATTAGGCTAATAATAAACTTTCTCTCATACAAAAACAAAGATGTATGTATATACTGCATATATACATAGTAACATAACGGCGATAAGACGATGGCAAGTTATTTAAATAATGTTTGCGGGTGTGAACTATTGTACAAGTATATAAGAACCGGCAGAAGTTACGTGAAAAATTGCAAATAAATACGAAGCGCGAGCCCAGGTCTGTTATCATTCGACTGCTAAGACGTTAGAATACATCATGGGTAAGAAAACTAGAAAAATTATAAAGTACTAACTAAACATATGTTATTATTACCGCGGGCTTGCTAAACTCGAAGGAACTGTAGAATTGGAGTTTTAAAAACTAGTTCGATAAACTATTAGCATAATCGCCTCATAAATTTGTGTATGGGAGAACTTGTTTCAGGGGCTGCCAAATCTTAATTTTCTTTTGGTTTTGTTTTTAATATCTCTAGGCATTTCCGCTAAACGATTGCTGCTCGCTTTGACATTGACGGCGGTGGCCATCGGCACCGCAAACAGCGAACAATCAGCGCGCATTGTCTGCTACTTCACTGACTGGGCTATCAATCGACCAGGAATAGGACGTTACGTATCCGAAAATATTCCAACTGAGCTGTGTACGCATCTAATCTACTCGTTCATTGGAGTTAATGACACCGATTGGTCTGTACTAGTTCTGGATAGCGAAGTGGATGTCGACCAAAATGGTTTCCGCAATTTCACTGCACTGAAAGAGAAGAATCCAAGCCTTAAGCTTGAAATCTCTATAGGAGGATGGAATGAGGGTGGTGCGAAATATTCCGAACTCGTTTCACTGGCCGAGCGGCGCCAGAGCTTCATCAGCAGTGTTGTGGAATTCTTAAATGAATACGGTTTCGATGGTCTCGACTTGGATTGGGAGTACCCCGGCGCTACGGATCGTGATGGAACTGCTGCAGATAAAGAAAACTTTGT